GAATGTACAGCCATAAATACGAAACAAGTAAAAAAGTTCACCTTTTTAATGGGAGAGTCTCATCGGGATTCGATAGTGAATCATGTATTTCGTAAAGAATACTAATCTCATTGTGGGATATCTCATCTCTCAGTATTTAACTTACCCATATTGGCTGTTGTATCTGTCCCGGGACCCAACGGTATCCGTGACTGCGTAGTAAACTGGTAGCTTCGCCACGATACTCACGACTCGGATTAGAATCCCGTTGTTTGTACTAATAAGACTTGTTTAGGCGAGGTAGAAACCGCAGTCCAGACTAGATGGAACGATCTTCTGGTAAACAAATGAAAGTCAGTGAAATTCATCTCCTCATGGGAAAACTTAACTAATATTCCTTAAATCAGCTAAAGTTATTTAGGGTGACTTAGTTATTAGCCAGCTTATTTTATTCGTGCACTTATATATAGACATATAAAGCATGGATCATTGGATGCTTATAATCCTTTTATAGATACTATGAATGTGGAAGAAAGCGAATATTTTCCACTTCTCTACAAGAATAACTGGCTCTGTTTTTAGTCGATCCTTATCTCTGTTCTCGGCCTGCACCAACTATTTCCTTTATAACGGCGTTGCCTCTATCTTTTCATTTCTGGCTCGTCACTATGCTTAACATCTCAGTCGCGTCAGCGATCTGCGCAGCTCTTATAGCCCTGGTTTGACAGGCTGAGTCTGAAAAGTATGCAATTAACTGATTTCTGTGAGCCCTTCTTTATTCTAGATCACCATAGATCCCGTAGACAGAACCGTCTGCGAGGAGAAGGTAGCCATCTCAATGCGGATGGACGGAAAACCACATGGCATTGCTACAAAGTCTGGCCTGAAAATTGAGACGTTTTCCTCGTGGCTCGCTGATCATATAAGGTCGTCTGAACGCCTGCCTTCCGTCATTGTGTGCATCTACTTTCACGCGGATCAGTTTCTTATCTTATGTTTTAGGTGTTTTGCGTAGTTTTCTCTGCCCAAGCCTTAATTCCAAGTTTAAAGACTCTTTGCAGATATAATGACATGACAGGGCCTGTCCTCTTTGTCGTCAAAGTTGCAACTTCCTCAATGCTTTTTTTGTTTAATACTCCTTGTGATAAAACAAAAGCAGCAAATGTTAGAAAAACTGAATCCTAACATTCCTACTACAAAGTTGGGACCCGTGGTGGTGGAATGGGAGAAGAAGCACGAATGCACCATGTTGCGTTTAATTTCATCATCCAGAACTCCAAACTTTATACTTTTACCCTTTGGTGCTAAGCATTTCACATTCGATATTTTTTCCTGTAAATCCGACCAGACTATAGGATATTTCGTAATTTTCAAGTCTATTTTCTGATGAACCTTCACTTAAGTCCTTATATCCTTAAAAATGGAAGGGGTTTTTACCCTCTAATTTGAAAATCTCTTGTTAAGTTACCTATTTGGGAGGGGGTGACTCGATCTAATGATAGTACTTAAGTAAAGGCTAAGGTACCTTGGCACCAATACGCTCTAAGGTTTCGGAACTGTCAATATTATTTGGAGCATATATTTTTTAATAATTTAAAAGGTCTTTTGATAAAGCCTTATTACTTATTCCCACAAAGAGTTGGGCTCTTATAGGTACTATCAGAGAATGTTAAGAAACTTAAAGCATTCAGCTAAGTGGTATGCTGACGTGTATAGTTAAACTAAATTAGAGGGAATTTTTCCCAAAGATGCCAATGACTGCTCTTCATTCAATACTGAATCAGGTAATTAGAGGTCTTAAATGTAGACGCAATACTGATTTTTTAGTCTTTTTTTAATAGGCTTGCCAAGGTAACTCACATGATATTGGCTTCGATAGCTGAAGCACATTGGCTTGACGGTCTAATGTTGCGTTGTA